AGACTTTCTTGCTTTTCATTCAGGCATTCCAGGGCTAACTGGTCAAAAAGGAAGCAAGGGTGATTATGGCAGTAGTGGCCCAAAAGGAGAACCGGGAGTAAAAGGCGCCAAGGGAGACCATGGATCCTCTGGTAAGGCTGTTTGCCATGGGGTCTGTGGAGCTAATGGTGCATTTGAGTTTGGGATTTGAGTTTTGGGACTGGCTCAAGCTGCTCTGGGGGATGTTTACAGAGCTTATTTGGAGGAACTCAACAGACAGATCAGTCTTCCCAGAAGATGGATGTGCAGAGTGTCACATTTACACCTTAGGAGATGTGCTAAAAGGCACGCCAAGTAAACAGATGCATTAGACTTTCTCAAATCCCAGAAAACTGAAACAATCCACGTTCCTCTTTGATTTGCACAGAGACATCTTGCAACATACCATGCCACTGGGACAAATCCCACGTAAACGCGGCAGTCAGGAACACAGAATCAGAAACACCAGGGCTATTTAACTGCATCTTTCTAATTGTAGGACACAAAAACAGCCAGTTCAAAAGGGCCAACAGTACAGCTACTCCCCATCCTTACCTCCTTCCTTCCAGTCACAGAATGCTTCCAAAAACCCTAAGACCTGTAGTAAAAAAACCCTCAAAACAGTAGTTACAACAGGCCATGGGACGCAACCAGTGCTCTGTGTCCTTTTTGTTTTAATTGCTCACACAGAACAGTGTGAGAGTCCTCAGAAATAAAATAAACTAGAGCCCATGTGGGGCTCCTCCATGCACTCCTCTTCTGGAACCTTGCCTCTGGAGGAGGGGAGACGTGTAACCGGGGTGACCCCAGGTTAGGGACTACCCTCTCAGTGGGTGTCATACCCTGGTGCCCAGAAGGAGACAGCAATGTGTGCTTTGTGGAAGTAGCTTTTGGGGGAAGAGCTCTCTGGGTTTTTTCAAACACCCCCACTCTCAAGACCAGAATGCTACACAGAAATGTGGAGGACTGTTGGGAGTGTTCTGTTGTCCCATGGCAGTACCTGGAGACCAAACCCCATGATGTAGATCTTCCTGCAAGTACTTTGGGAGATACCATGCTGCTCTGGAGAGCCCAAAGGCTGTCAGAGATGTCATTTTACAGGTAGTACTGGGAATAAGATACATTTACCACAAGTGAGTGAATGGGATTTTGCAAGGGGCCCTTTTCTCGAATCACACATTAGGAAGACTTTGCTATATGTTACCCTACTTTTCTTGCCACATTTCTTTTACATATCTTTAGTCACTTCATGGGGTCCATTCCACAAGGACATGGAGCCCTCATATCTCTGACTCACCCAATTATTCAGAAAAAGTTAATAACTGCATTTTCTTCCAAACAGCTGTCAAATATTTGCTTTTTAAATTTGGCACAGGTTCCCCAGGAACAAAAGGGAGCAAAGGTGAAAAGGGAGAAGGTACTGGACTTTCATTTCTTCTTCTCTCACCTGCCTTCTGGCATCAAAGCTATCTGAGATCAGGACTAATGTGTCCCCTATGCACACTGGTCAAGCCGCAGCACGGCTACCAGAACCGAGGGGTCTGTGCGCTAAGCTGCAGCCTGGTGTCTCCAGACCCAGGAGAGGACCCTGATTTGTTCAGATTTGACCTACCAGTAACTTCTGGTCCCACTTTGGCTACAGTTGTGGGGATGGGAACATTCATCCAGTTTGGGTGGTCACTGCTTCCATCTTTCAATGTGTTTTTTTCCTCGTGCCCGTATGACCAGTAGAGTTATTTTCTTCTCCTCTGAACTGTCAGGAAACTTCAATAATGTTGTACGAATCGCAGAAGGGGGCAGGAGAGGCCGCGTGGAAGTCTTTCATCAAGGGTCCTGGGGAACAATATGTGATGATGGCTGGAGCGTCCAAGATGCCACTGTGGTCTGCCGAATGCTGGGATACAACCGTGCGGTCTCAGCCTTCACAGCAACAGCAGGTGAGTCCACAACAGTCTTCCACCTCCCCAGGCCTGGCATGGGAGGTTATGCACACCCAGAAAGCACCATAGCAAGGTCCACTACACAAGCAGCAGGAGAGCAAAGAGGCTCCCCAAGAGGGCAGCTCATTCCCCTCAGGATGAGGGAGCTGCACGTCAAGTGCTGCTTGAACTGTGCCCAAAGGCTTGATTTCCAGCAAGCCAACCGCGCAACCCAATACCACCCACCTGCTATCCACAGGGGCCTCTTTAGAAAAAAATGCATATTCCTCTTTCTTTTGTCCAACAGTTTTTTGTTTGTTTGTTTAATTCATCTTCCAAAGGCACTGGACAAATTTGGCTTGATGACGTGAATTGCAGGGGGAATGAACGTTCAATTTTCGACTGTCCAAAGCCCGACTGGGGTGTGAACAACTGCTCCCACAATGAGGACGCTGGGCTGGAGTGCATTTGATGGGACACAGAGGCTACCCTGGGAGCCGCTGCCCTCCCCTCCCTCGATGGAGCTCTTGTTCATAATGCAAACCCAAATTTGTCAGGCTGTGCTTATAGTCTCCTTACCAGGTCATAAAAATATTGACAGAGAAAGTTGAATTTTCCATAAATCAGCAATGGTTGCAAGACCCACAGGTAACCTGAACTGTCCCAGCTGTCAGGAAACAACCAGAGATCAGGCACATGAGCCAGTTCACAGCTTTTCCAGCTACCTGACATCAGGTCATCTGCAGTAGCTCACACATGTGTGACCTCTAGGTCCACAGGGGAGGAGAAATGGTCCACTTTATCTTAGTGTAGTAAGGGAGAATAGGATAAGCGTGCAGAAATGGGCAGTTACTGCAGCTGAGCTGGCTAGTCCATCTTCACCACAGTACAGTTGTGAACCTGAGCCTAAAACCCCCAGTGAAGTGCCTACACCCAAGACAGGAGATGCTCAGAAATCACCATATGATCTCTCTGGCATTCAAATATAAATATTCTCCAGAAACAATGCTGATCACAGGTTAAAGTGCAAAAATAAGTGCCTGGGATCTATGTGCCGCACTATTCTAGTTTAGCACAGACTTTGTTTTTGACCTTGGCCAAGTCCCCTGCCTTCTCTGTCAGTGTTTCCTACCCTATCCCCGTACCTTATCTGATGTATAAAGCTAAGTGTGTCAAGCCTCTAGAAATTAGATGCTCCAGTAAAGCAAAGGTATGACAAACAAAAGCAATAATGGGGAGGTATTAGCTAATTAAACTTCCAGAGTGAAAATACAGACCTTAAACCAAAGGCTTCTACCTTACCTGAAAATCTTACATGTGTCTGAGATAATAACTGAAAGGCTTCCCTTTCTTAAGACCTAAGTCTTCCTCTTTTCCACCAGCACTGGGCATTCAGCAGGTGACAAGCAGTCTGTGTCCATGTAGCTGGGCACATCACAACAACCTGCTTGCAGACATATTATTTAAAATGTCAGAAATACATGTTAGCTACCCCACATCTCTGTCTTAACATGAGTTATAATTGCATTTGTCTACACAGCTTTGAAACTCATTTTTAGTGCTTAGAAATCCAGATATAAATTGGAAAAAACAAGCAGTGCTGGTAAGAGCAGCAGGTGATGGGGCATCCGGGGCCAGTGCGAGTGAGAAGACCCAGCAGTGTGCAGGGTCTCATAGTGCAGTCTGCAACAAAGTTCATCACCATTTTGAACCAGAGGAAATGTTTGTTACGGGGTCTCAAGAAAGAACTGTGGAAAATGCCAAGAGTTTCCCAGTATCCACTCTGATGCCTTCAACAGCAGGAAGATGAAGAGAACAGCTTACCATTCCTGGTTCTGGTTTAGAGGAGGCAAAGTACATCTGCCATAAACCATGGGGGAAATCCGATGAATGACAACTATGTCAGAGCTGGTGGAGACAGACAGGGTCTCATCTGCACAAGAAGAGACAGAAGTTTTCTGTTGTGGTAGGGAGCCCCACCAGCATAACAGCACGCTGAGCACTGGCACTTGGGCTAACACAGCTTTCTGCAGGGCTTCCAGAGACAGTGCTGAGCCTGCACAGGTTTCCTTCATCTTTTTTTGTGTGGCAGTATGTAAATAAAGCATTTCCATGGTTAGGAAATAAAGGATTTACAAGCTATGTTCATGTCTTGATATATCAACAGGTGACGCTTACACTCTCATTTTCTCGCTAACCGAGTATGTTCCTCACCATTTTTCAGGCTAAATGCTGAGGTTTTTTCATCAGGCAAAACTGCCACCGAAGGGAATGTCACTATGTCCCCTGTGGCAACCCTGTGGCTGGACTTAAATCCCCATAAATCTCTTTTTTGGAGAATGGGCATCCAGAAAACAGCAGTTGTGCCAGGATTAAGGTCAGGACACCGGGGGCTGGATCTGAATGCCCAGGGAAAAACATGCCATGGCCCAGCCTGTCTGCTCCTGGGCACAGCAGGAACAGGTTGAACCCAAGCTACCGTCCAGCAGCATGGCCAGAAACCAGAGCATGACGTGCTTGCCCCGCTCCCCTTGCGGTGCGGATGTAAAATCTGCAAAATCTGGAGTCAGAGGGATTTCCTAGCAGCCCAGGAGAGCTCATGCCGACACTGAAGAGTTCACTGCCAAGTACACAAGATGGCATTTACCTTGCAGGGGCTAAAGGAGGAAGGAGGATGCAGGTGATGGAGGGAACGCCCTGTGTTTAAGCTCGGCGGCACCACGGCCCTGCTGCAGCACAGCGCCGGGGAAGGGCTCGAGGTGGCTCAGGCAGGCCCATGGCTGCAGGGCCGGGGAATGCCACTGCTAAAGCGGAACAGCCCAAAACACGCAGCTGCCTGTCAGCATTTGGCATAGCCCCTTCCATTCAGTGGGGATGCAGGAGCCAGTACAGAAGTGCCCACACCAGTACAGTTCATTCTGGTCTGGGAAGGGAAATGAGCTCAGGCCCAAGACCTGTGTTAATATAACTGTTCTGGCAAAACCAGAGCTTGGCATGAAAACAAACGTTGCCTTCATAAAACCACTCTGCGTGCCCTGTCTGGAGAGGGAAGCCCAGCCAGCTGGGAGGAGGTCTGCAGGCACAAAGCTCGCACAGGAGCTAGAAACCCAACTGTTTCTGCCTGCTAAAGCAGAGCATGTCTGAGCTGCAAGGGAAGAGCTGAGCCCAGGGTGTTCCATGTGCAAGAAATAGCATCCGTTGGAGGGGCTCACTGTGGCCAGGTCGTGTGCCCGTGATTTCGCACTCCCTGACTATGCCAGTCCCAATGGATCTTCCTGAAGAAGCACTACCCAGCTGTGAATAAACAGCAGAGGATGCTAGGTGGTGGCAGCACAATTTACATCTGATCTTCTTCTGTCCAAACTGAGGTGAAACCAGAAAGAAGTCACTAATGTGGTCATTGCAGCAGGAAGAAATTCTTCCCAGCTCCCATAAGAGGTCAATCAGCTGAAGGTGTTGTGGAGGCTGTGAGACCACTAGGCTGCAGGCTCCTTTCCTGCGAGGGCCAGGAGTCCAAGTGCCAGAAATAAAATTTCAAAGTCCAGCTTTAAGAAATTCAGAAGTTCACACTAAATTCACACTTTTAATTCAAATGACAGGTATCTGTGGCAGCTCCTCAGCTGATACAAATTGCCATACTCACTGCAATGCTGTGTTTCAGTATTATTTAATTCCAAAAAGCCGAAAAAACCCATCCTGACTTATTTCAGAATCACTGAAAAAAACTAGCATGGGGACAGACAGGCCCCAATTATCATGATGTCACTTCTTGCGTCACATAAAGGTTCCCCAGAGAGGGCCGTGCAGCTAACGGGGGTGCCACCGCCAAGGGACCTGCGGGATGAGCCAGCGCGGGACTACAGGGGCCTCCCCACAGCCATCTCCACGGGTGACGCGTATTTTTTAGCAATGCTCCTTCCCGACACTAAGGGGAGCTCAAGGGCCGCCACCCGCT